ACCGATGCTTTACAGACCTCTACGTGACAAGTCCTGCTAGTCTGGAAATGAGTCAAAGTAGTTTAATTCCACGTTTCTCATTATAAACAAGCTGCAGAAGATATTTTTCTTCCATGTTACTGAAAACCTGCCCATACTATACTGACCTCCTTAATCTGTGTTTCCACTGGAGCTCTTCCTCCTCCCTTCAGCTTTGAGCTTCTAGTACCTTCTGATTTTTAAGGAGAAATTACAGAAGATAAGAATACATGGTGTTCTTCGAATATCAAGAAAGAGCAGGTGGTACTTAGGAGCCCTTCAAAGTTCAGTACAGCATGCCATTATGCTTTATTAAAAGATGGATAAACAAGCCTAAAGAAATGACCAATGGAGATCAAGGACCAAATGGAGACATCCATTAAGACAGTGGCCCTGTTAAAAGCACTGGCATTCTTTTCAGTTCACAACCTGGAAAAGACAATTTCTCCCATCACTCAAAATGTATTTAGGAAAATAGTCTATCAAGTGTTTCTTTGTGATATGTTTCCTATTTTAAATGGAAACAGCACAAATGTAATGCTATCTTCTCTCCCTCTATCCCCTGAAACAGTCCAGTGACAGCAGGACTGGTATGGGTAAGCATTAATTGCTACTAATTTGCTTCTTAACTGAATGAAAACATATTTGTATACATTGAAAGCCTGATAGAACATTACAAACACCCACCAACTCTTCAGAAAAGCTCCATTACTTCACTTCAATGCTTCTACTTCAAAGGACAGCAAGGCAGCTGCTGATTACACTATGAGCTGAATCACTCTTGGAAGTAGCATTTCTCATACATCCTCTCCTGGGACCAAATGCAAACACAGATGAACTCGAACTAGAGAATACTGTCACTACAGGTGATTTAAGCTCCTTCACTGATAATGGTCCTTGGAGACATCTGAATCTATCAAAACAACCACACAATCTCTCTTATTAAATATATTATTCAGAAATGAAAAAATCGGGGTCAAATGAGTATGTAGTATCGTAAGTTTCCTAGCACTAATACTGTTTGATAGGAAAGGGGAATACTGGCTAGATAATGAGAATGAATTAGAGAACATACTTCAGATATGTCAAAAATCTGTGTGCATATACCTAATAAAAGCAGTACTATAATTCATATACAAATGAGATTTTAAACAGCATTTTTTTTTTTTTTTTGGAAGTGCAGTTCTCAGAGATAGACAGTCAGTCCATAGAGAACTTAAGGGCACTTTATAAGGCTTAACCTAAAAAGCATTTAAGGAACTACTTTCATTTTGAGTAGAGATTTAAAATTCTGTCATTACATATCAGAGTTCTTTCAGAAGGATAACTACAAATTCAACTGTATGCATATCATATATATATTTACTTACACCTGTGTCTACTGTAATATATACACACATAATACATATATATGTTCATCCCACTTTCCTATTTCTATGGGTCTCAAAGTACCTTTAAGTAATCCAGTATTGAGATTTAAAGGTTCAGACATCCATCTTGTTCAAAACTCACGAACTGAGGCAAGACAGAGTAGAGACATGGATCAGAACCACGACAGAGCTTAAAGAGTCACTGAGTAATGGTAACTGGCCACAGATGTGGTCAAAGCCTGCAGCTGGAATAAGGCAAAAAAAAACCTGCTCTCATTTAGTGCCAAAACAAACAAAATAAGTAAATGACACCACGCCATGGTCAAACAAGAAACACTTTGCCATCATTTACAGCTAGTAGAAAACCAGAAGTGTTCCCTCTGCCTAATTCCAGTAGTTCACTGTAGGTATCTGAACATTATTAAAACGACTGATACTGCAAGAGTATCACAGTGGAATTACTATTCAGATTATTTCCAGACTAAGTAATAACACACTAATTAAGTGGTGTGGTGAGAGTTCGGATAACAAAGTGTTGCTCCTCCCGATAAACGCCCTACATAAAGAACAGGAAGCCTTACAAAATACATATTTGCATATGTTAACTATGCACAATATTTACATATATTAAAACATGCTCAAACATTCCTGGCTCTGTCCGATATTTCTCAGTCTGCAAACATTTCCTGAATAAAGCCACCACACATCCCTTCCTTTTGACTTCTCAACTATTCATAATACTGGTGGTTTCAAAGCTGGTCGATACTGGAATGCTAGGAACCATAAGCAATGAAAAGACTTCATTTCATACCTGAAATATCCTGCACAAGCTCAGACTGCAACATCAATTATATTTTGCTCATCTTAAAGTGCTTCTAAAAAACCCTAGGAAGACATAATAATCTGTACATGTAGGACATTTGAATTGTGATAATAGCATTTATGTTGCAGGAAATTCTTTTCTGGTGCAATAAAATTAATTAATCCTTCCTTTACTTCAGAAAGTCTGACAGATTATAAATTTCACTTCTGCTATTTCTTATATGCAACTACATTCACAGACCGTAAGAATAATGTTCTGAATAAAATGGAAATCTGTAATGTAGTCCTAACATAGACAAGCTACAGTATATATTGACCTTCCCCCTCCTCCTCCATCAAGGTTTATAAAACAAGGTAAACATGTACAAAAGGAGTGCCCTGATTGCAGCTCTGAAAATGAATCACAGTGCTAAAAGTCACACCCTAGAAAATACTCTGCAGAGTGATAATGGTACCATTCACTTTTGTGACAACTTATTAAATATCTTTATTTTCACGGTTCATTTTTCATAAAGCAATGTTTATGCACAGTGCCATAACTTCCAAACATGCCAAAGTTTTATGATCTTGCACTACAGCTTTGCATGAGTCGTTCACAACTGAACAAGGGTAAAAGCAGTGATCTCAGCTGGCAGGATAGCAGTCTAGGGATTAACTTTGCTCACTTTCAACTTCTTAAGCCACTGCCTGTTGAGCACGTGCTTGTACATTAGCATTAAGCAATAAACTTCCTTTACAGAAGTTCTCCTTGCTTAGTCCCTTTTCTGTAAGCAGTTAATTACTAATTAAAGCAGAAAACACATCACTTTTTTTTCTTCTTCTTTTTTCTTTTTCCCCCTCCATTCAGGCTATTTGACTGGGTGAAGTTTTGAAATTGCAGCACATAGCAAAGCTTGCAGCCCATTATGCTTGCAAGCTAAATGCTGGATAAAGTTGTTTGAGCATGCAAGTTACAAGCAGCTACTGCTATCTGATTTCTCTGATGCAAGTTGCTTCATTAAGTACCCATTCTCAACAGTGATGCATCATTACTGAATGGCATATCACACGAGCATCTTAGGTAGGAGACTTCTGCCCTGCTTTCCCCACTAGTAAATAATCTTTCCTGTGCTTAATGCAACAGCCCCTTTTAAGACCATCCTAAGGATAGACATAATTAATCAATTAATCCCGTTACCACAGATATTAGAAAACTGATTTTTCAGAAGGTTTCTTCAAGCCAACTACTGCCACCATTTCAGCTGCATTAAATATCTGCTACGAAACAAGAATTAACTGATTCCATTGATCAGCTTTCTACCCCACCTGTCATTCTGCACTGCTTTTGTCTGACTGGAGAGAAGGTGGAGAACAGATATACATTCATAGAATGGCTTGGGTTGGAAGGGACCTCAAGGATCATCAAGTTCTAACATCCCTTCCACAGACAAAGAGGTCAACTGCTAGATCAAGTACTAGATCAGATTGCCCCAGGACCTCATCCAAACTGGCCTTAAACACCTCCAGGGAAGACTATCTACAGCCTGTTCCAGCACCTTACCACTCTCTTGGTTAAAAAAAAAGTTCCTCCTAAAACCTAATGTAAATCTCTCCCTTAGTTCAAAACTGTTCCTACTTGCCCTATCACTATCTACCTGTGTAAAAACTTGATTTCCCTCATGTTTATAAACTAAATCTTGGAAGGCCACAATAACGTCTCAATGAAGTCACTGGTAGATATTTTATATTTCATACCTTTTGTTGAGGCACTGAAGTAACTCAGTTCTTTGTATCTGTAATAGCTTACAGAACAAGAAAGTGAATTCTCCAGGTGCATGACAAGACAGTGAAGCCATATTTCCAAAGGCTTGTGTTGAGCCCTGTAACTCAAATCTTTTGAGCCCCACAGCTCCTTAGTAACTATCTAAAACTACCTACCACTATAACTTATGTAAATCCGCTACTATGCAAGTCTAACTACTACAGGTTTAGTATGTCACCTACTGGCTTGATGCTCTGCAGACTATTTGAACGTGTCACGATTCAGAAGTGTAACAAAACTGCATTTTCACATGAAAATGGGAGGAGGGGAGAAGAATCATTTAATCGTAAACTACATGATTGATGAGCAACTAAAGGATGAATCATAGTTGTCTGGCCTTCTTGTACAGCTAAGTCACCATCCACAGTAGAAGAACATAGAGACACGAATCCATTCACCACAATAAAAGGATCTACCAGCTCAAACAAAAGAATGAAAAATGCATAAGGTCACAGGACTACAAGCCTTCTCTTCAGGCACAAACAGTACCTTTCTGTACAATAGTATAAATGTGAACAAAAGAAAGAACAAGGGGACAAACCATCTTCACTAAATGCTCAGTGTTTGGTTCTTCACAAGTCTTTCTTAAAAACTCAAGCAGTAGACAAATGATTTGACATCATTTTGTGATGCAGGCACACAGTAACACAGACAGCATTACAGTGAGTCAGAGAATATCCTGAAAAAAAGCAAATAAGGCAACATGCCTAAGCTTTTTACATTTTATAAACATAGAAACTTCATTCTCTTGCCAGAGAGATAACAAGCAAAAAGAAGTCTTGAATTTCACCAATATTTGATATTGTGACGAAGTACATGGACAGATTAACAAATGCAACTGCTGTTTTGGATTATTTCCTTTCTTTACTAACCACCATAAAACTTGAAAACCAACAGTTCTTTTGAGAATTACAGGTATCTCAGAGGCAGTAACAAAAATAGTATAGTTTTATTTATTCCTCAGTAAAATTTATAAATTTTTCACTTACGGAAGTATTTCAAGGTCTCTTCTATTTGCTCAGTTGTTAAGTCGATATTTGCATCAGGAGAAATGAGAGGAGTATGAAGCCAGTCGTCGTGGTCATAACCATAGATTGTATCTGCTCTTAGCTTATAATGAGGCAGCTGTTCTTCCAGTAGACTGATGATTTCAACTTCAGGAAGATTGGTACTATTGCACACATCTGACAAAAGAAAGAGAAGACAGCCTGTCAGCCACTTTAAACCAAGTATTATACACTGTATAAGCTAGGAAATATGCCAGTTTGATTTGATATCAAAAAGATTTTTCCTCATGAACAGCTAGATATTATTCAGAAAACAAGACTAGCTCAGATTATCCACAAATTAATGTCTACTAGCACAGAATGGAAGGGTTTGCTATTTGGAATAAAAAAACCCTGCAGCAGGTACTCACATACTGAAGAACATGGTTTAGAGAAGGGGGCAAAATAGAGACCAAGAAAGCAACAAAAAGAGTAGTAAAATGTGGCTATGGAAAAAAAGGATACTGCATTCAGGAATTCACATTTTTAAGTTTTACTTGACAGATTATTTTTAGTTTGCAAGTTCTATATTTCTCCTTTACTTCCTCCTTGTGCAGTTGAGTTTCTCTGAATTTTGCCTTCAACTGCTGGCAGATTTTTCCCAGAAGAAGAAATCCAGGGCTGCAATAGCAAACTGTCACAGTTCACACTGAACACTCACATTAAAGCAGGCTGTAAGAACTTCTTGTGCACCTTTCAACACTGTCTCAACACACATTCTGTGATATCAACCCTCCCCATTCACAAGAAAATCAACTTCACATTCAGTTTTAAAAACGAAAGCTGAGGGCCATCAACAACTGCAAAAATGATGCAACTTACACTGGTAATTTAAATTTAGGAAGAGACAACAATTTTTTAATGTAGAAAACTTCAACATAAAACTTTTTTGCTGTGAGGATGGTAAAACATGGGAAGAAGAGTCCAGAAAAGCTGAGAAATCTCTACCTTTGGAGAGACTGAGAACACACTTGGCCAAGGCCTTGAGTACCTGCTTTAAAAGGATGCATTTGAGTAGAAGGTCCAGAGGTCCCCAATCTAAATTCTCTTTACTTTCATCAAACTGTGCTGCTACCCTTGGACACACATAAGCATTCTCCAAACCTCACTGCAAAAATATATATAGAAAGACTAGCAGAAGTGAATACTCATGTGCAGCACTGCCGTTTTTGTGGAGCTCTGTGCAGAGAGCAAATCAGTCCACACACATCACTTCAAGAGGTCCTGCAGCAACTTACCAGAATAAGAGAGTACCCATTCACACAGAGAAACAAGACCTTATTCCCCTGCACCCACACTAAGTACAAACCTTTCATCTGCCTGGCTGCTTCTGAAATGCTGGTCATGTCCCACTTCAGTGCCTGTAACCATCTAAGTTCACAGAAGCCAGCTGATACTGTAAGAAACATCTGCTGATGTAAACTAAACATTTAAAAGATGCTTTTCTATATAGCCTTACAAATACAAACATAAAGCCTATATGCATATAGTCTTCTGTATCTCTGAGTTACCTAATGCTCTCACTGTCAAGAATGAAAGGTTGTTTTTTCTTGCCTTTTCTTTTTTTCCCTGCTGAAATGTTTCTTCTCCTCTTGTGAAAAGTATGAAGGTCTGCACAACCTTACCAAGGTCCTCTTGAAAACAGGAAAATAAAGATGTTTGAAAAAGAAAGAATGTCAGAATTTCAGCTGCTATTTCAGAAGAAAATGAGCAACCTTACAGTTTCAAGCAAGTAGTTCTGTGCAGAGAAGTAAGCTGGTTTGCTCTGGCATGTAGCAAAATAGGAAAAGCAAAAGAAGTTTTCATTCGAATCTGAGAGAAAAACAGACACACACAAAAGAAATCCAAATAGTTTTACTGTGGAAAAGAAATCCATGTAAACACAGACAGACATACAGTAGGGAATTAAAAATTATTGTGCAATACAAGTGGAGCAAGACACTTTCTCTGTTTTACTACATAATAAATCCCGAGTGTTTCTACACAGTTCAAAGCCTAACAACTGAAAAAGATAGATCTTCAAAGGCAACATATTCTGATGCTATTGTTATTAACTCCTATTGTGATTTTAAAATCCATTTACCAGCAGGAAGTAGGTGCAGGCTCTGATATAATTGCCTATTTAGGAAAAACAGGACACAGCAATTATTGTTGTGTATGACTAAACATTAGTTCACCATTTAAATCGTGGCAGTACACTCGGTGCCAGTCCTGCAGTCTTCATTCTTCTTCCCCTTCTTTTTTGAGATGCTGGCTCTTGATGTCACATGTAGGTACAAAGGCTTCCAGACTGTTTTGTTGTGTTGGTTTTTTTTTAATGGCTCTGATTAATATTGCAAAGATAAACAAGTAAGATAAGCACTCAGAGCACCTGAGACATTATTCAAGCTTTATAATTCTGAAGCTTTTCCTCGTCCTACATGGCAACTTCATTCTGCTGAGTTAAACAGCGTCGTAAGCATAAACCAATTAAACGTTCATTAATATAAATTATTCAAGAAACTACAGTTGAAGTTGCTCTGTTACAGATGTATTTTTTCCTGTAGGCTGAGTGATTTTCAACTTGTCATTTTCTGGACAACCTTGGCTAACAGAAACTTCTATAAGCAAATTACAACCAATCTGAAGAGCTGAATGTTTCTCTTGGGAGTTACAAACTCACGATTCCTCCCAAAGCATGGGTCATTACGGCCTTGGCTTTTGAAAGCAAGGAGTTACGGAGAAAGGTTTGCTAAGGCTCCTGCATACTGCAGAAGGCTACAGTTTATGGTACTCCCTAGGAATAATTATACAAAAACAAAGAAAATCTGTGAATTTGTTAAATCTTTTTTATTTTTGCACATAGTATGCTGCACTGCTTTGCTATCCTCATAGCTGAGACATGGCACATGTAGGAACACCCCATCTCATCTCTTTTTAGTACAAACTTCTCCATGTCCTAGTTGTAAGAAGACAAGGAAGTTGCTCAGTGTGCTTTGTAGTATTTTCTGACATTACTCCTCCCCTTCCTCTGCATATTTTCTAAAACATATTAAACCAATTTCTTTCAGAGGCCTCATTTTTTGCTGAGGTTTTGTTGCTTCAGTTTCCAATCTTCCCATTCAATAAAGAAGACTCAAAGTCAGGCAGAACACTCCAGCTGAGTTAGACTCTGCATTTTTTCTTACTGCTTAACTACCTTAGGTGATTATTAAACATTCTTTCTTAGCATGCTCCATATCTTCTTAGACATTGGCATCTGACTGACCAGGGTATCTCCACTTCTCTGGGCATCCTGGATTGGAGGAACTATGCCAACACCTTGTCACCAGGCAATTGAACCTCAGCTTGAGTTAGCTTTTATTATCTGTCTTCTCCACTACTAATTATAGCTATAAAGACAAAAGTAAGGACAAAGTACATGAGAAAGGTGGTGGAGGGACTGTGGAAATACACTTGGAAAGATCTGAAGATGTCACTCTGAACAACACGGTTCCTTTAAAGCAGCTGATCTGTCACTCTCCATTCCCTACCAGGCTTTTGAGTTTCACTTGTTCACAGTTTTGTCTGAATGGACAATTATGTGTCATACTGCAAAAATAATACGTAGCAGGATTCATTTACAAGGAGTACGTCTTCAATTTTAATATCAATTTCACACAAAAGTACTGATAAACTGAGAAGAAAAATAACAGAAGGGATAAGTAAAACAAACAAACCATACAGGAATAAAAGCACAGAAAACAAGTTCTGTGATTCTCAAAGCCTGGTACTTGCTGGTACTTACTGGCTTTTATTTTTTGTTTTTAGAAACAGTACACTACAGCTAACCCACACACGGAATATAAAGTGCTTAGTTTAGAATCTGCTGAATTCTTGTCCAAACTTTCCTCAGTCTTTATGGTTTAATTGGTTTGTTTTTAAGCAGAGTCCTCTCAGAGTCAAGGTGAAAGGGCTTTCCAGTTCACTAAAGCACCTCTGAGCAGTGGATACTGCCACCTGGTGCAAGAAAGGCCTTATTACCCAGTACCTCCACATAAAAAATAACAGTTCTGCCATTTCTCATGAGAGTTTTCTCTCTCCACACGTATACTACCAGTAGCACTGCAAAACTAACTATGTGCAGTACACACTGGATTACTTTTTGTTTTTTTTTTTCTTCTTAAAAGGCTCTGAGACTACAAGAAAACTACTCAGAAACTGTACAGAAACTGTAGAGAAACCGTAGCATTCCTGGAGCACCATTCTCCTCAGCTCTGGCCCTCACAGAGGTTAACACCATGCAAGCAGCTCAGAGCAGCTCTGCTACCCTGAAATGACTCCTGTGAGAAACAGGGAGCAACTGCTGTGCAGAAGCAGTATGCTGAACAGAACCACACCGAGGTCTGGCCTTGGGGAACTGCTGTGCTGCTTGGCAGCCTTCAAAGCGCAAGTTTTGGTCAGCAGGTCGTGTAATTCACCCACCCCAAACATCTTCCATGAGACTCTACTGCATCCCAATACCTCCCATCTGCTGGTGCTCAGCCCACAGCCAGGAATGGGTACTCCAAATTTCCTCTCCTTATAAAGGAAAAATAATTTTAAAGCAAACAAACAAAAAATAAAAAATCATCATACAAAAATCGGAATAAAGAATACAGTAAACTGCATTCAGGCAAATTCTTGCAGTTCCCGCAAGAGAATGAGTACTTCCTAATTTGTCACAGCCTTTCTGCATGGTGGTGGAAAAATGAAATAGATGAGAAACAGAAAGAAAAAGAGATAAGAGAAACAAGGAAATTCTCTGGAGAAAGCTTGAAGAAGTCACCACTTCCTGCATCTACTCATTCCTCTCCCTGTTCTATGAGTGCGTCCCATTTCCCACCCCCCACACACTGTACTCCTCCTTGACATACAGTTCTCAAACATTTTAAACAGACAAACTTAAAAACTGTATGAAAACAGCTCAACAGTATAACAATTTTTATTTATTTCTTCCTTTAAAAGCACACCATACCTGAAAATGGTTCAACTCCAGTGCCAGCTACCTACTGGTTATGTACAAGGAAGCTTCTCTGCAGAATGGGGCTACTGCATGGAGACTAAAGTCCAGCCACATGGAACACAAGAAATTAAAGTCCATCAACCTGAGGCTATCGCATGCTAAACACTAGTGAATC